TTACAATGCCATCCTATAATGTTGCCAAGTAGAGTCTTATGTGAGATCCTGAAGCTGTCAGTGTTTCTCCAGGGCAGCAGAGTCCAGACTGTGGAAGTTCTGACAGTAATGGAAAAAACGCTCACTTGCTTGTCAGGAGACTGCACCGTTGCCTTCCTGTTTTCTCTTTGCAGGGCCAATGAAATGTGGGTCATATTTCTTACCCATTTTAGTGTTGCCAGTTGATACATGGGTGAGTCTTCTGTGACTGAAAGATCAGAGAAATTTAGACTTATACTTTTGGTAATTCCATTAGTAATTGAAAACTTGTTGTGAGAAGCAGCCTAGCTCATCAGCAAATTTTAAGCACATTTTCCTTCTTACTTTCTTGAGTAAGCTCTTGCTTGTAGGGACTGAGTATTATGCTTAAGCTCTGCAGTAATCATCCTAATCTTGGTTAGGATGCCACATGGAGTACAATTTATCTCAAACGTGGCTGATAGGCTGAACCTAATTAGAATTTTGGCAGTAAGGCTCATCATATTAACAGTAAAACAGACAGTACTACATGGCAAATTGTTTCTCAGTTAAAATATTTAACAAACTAAATAGCTTTGAGGAGCATTAGTAAGAGTTGTTGTTTGACTATAATATTTTTAATCTTAACAGTACTATTTCAGAAATTCAATTTTCACAGAGATGAGCCAGAATTTTTTTCTGTGCATTCCCTGATAATGAACTGTATAACTGGTTCAAAATCTCACAGCAATTATAAAAAAGAATTTAATGTTTGGTTTATGAAGTATTCTCTCATTTGTAGCTAATCAACCTTGCTAGTTACTTGAAGGCCCTTAGGCACAAATCCACTAAGGAAAGACAATCTTAAAATAAACCTAATTACACTGGATTTAAATTTTAATATGGTTTTCTAAGAAGACCACAGTTGTATTACTGTCCTTTCTGCTCAACTTCATTTGGACTTCCATGATAGCATTCCAGCAACAGGTCAGCAGGCACCAAAACCCTGGAACTAATGAGATACATCTCCCGGGGAAACTGTCAACAGTTGTGCAAAACTGGCATTTCTTATCACAAGTGCAGACTCGTAGCAATGATTTCAGAGACTTATATTAACAAAAGGAAAGTTCAATCATTGCTTGTATTGTCAGAATAGTTGACGGCTGACAGCTTACAAAACTCCAGCCCAGGTGTATTGTAGGTTATTATTTAGATGTTATGACATATATATTTTTTTAAGAAAATGTTTAAAACAGCAATTTTAAGAAGATTCAGAATGAGTACTAAAGAATTTATTTCTTCTTTGACATCTCTGAGATTTCTCAGATACTACCTTTTCTTCTTCCAAGTCCCAGATTACTGATATTTCAAAGAATTTTTTCTACGTGCTTTGAGTTCTGGCCAGCAACATATTTCTGAATTAGGCTGTAATAATCATTGATGATATCTTGATGATATTGTAATTCCATAGTGGGATAAATGCATAAAGGTTTCAAGTCTGAAGAATGATTTTCAGAGTATGAATCCCAAATTATAAGAAAGCTCCATATAGAAGCATTCACCAAATTTTATTATAATATATTCAACAGTATTAATAAGAATATATAACAAAAATACAAACATACTAAGACATAGATCACAATAACCTCATTCTTCAGGAAACATCACCTTATAAAAAGAGATATATAAGCTGGAAAACATAGCAGGGAACAAAATTTGAGGGCTGAAATATTGATTATTCAGCTATAACAGTAAAGCTAAGGTAGAAATTTCTATCACAATTTTGTGATATTTCAGCATGTGGTTCTATGGAGGGATCAAAACAATTAGCATTTTTGTTTACAGACCGTTTACTTGCAATGTGACTCCGATCAAATATATAGAAATTCATTTGAGCTAACAAAAAATTAGAGTCTGAATAATTTCTAGTGTTTTGAAAATATCTCAAAAAAAGATAACACTATTATTTATACAGAACATCAGAGACATAAAGTCAAAAAGGAGGGATATTCTGGGTTAATTTATAGAATTTCCTGTATAGTGGTTTTCATTTTAAAACTCTCACCTTGAATAAAATGGTATTCAAACTGGATTTTTTCAGTTTTATATAATCTGAACAGGGGGGTTGAAAAAAATCTCTTCACTTTATTGCTTCATGCCTTAACTTGAAACACCTGTGTATTTGATATTAAGTCTTTATTTAGAAATATAGGACGAACAGCATTAAGGATTTGAAAGTTTTCACTGAGAGAGTGGATAAGAACTGGAACAGGCTTCCCATAGGCATCATGGCCTCAATCCTGTCAGTGTCCAAAAATTGTTTTGACAACAATCTAAGATATATGGCTTAACTTTCAGGTTGCTCTGTGTAGAGTCTAAGACAAGGGTTGAATGAATTTCATGGGATCCTTCTAGCTCTGGGTTTTGAGAGACTGAAATGTTATGGCTAATGGCTTGAACACTGGTATGAAGGACTTTTTGCCCATTATGGCTAAATTGTACAAAAGAGTTGTGACCACTGAAGCGTGCTTCTCTCTGAATATGTCTCCTGACTGGAACTTTGGACTGTGAGTTAAGCCACCTAAGAGAACTTGGTGGCTTAACATGACCCAATTGTCCAACTATCTCAGGTGTAGGAATTAAACAAGTCTAAGGGAGAAGAATGTCTTTACAAAAAAAAAGCCAAACCCACTAGCTGTTCTGAAAATCAGCTCTGGCTGTCTTTGGGGTGGGAGAGGATGTAGCTCACAGGCTCATCTGCTGAGAGCAGATTTGCACACTCTTCCCCCCAACCAAGGCGGGGAAGTTTTTTGGGTGTGTGTCATAACCTCTGGTCAGAGGGAGGGAAGACCCCTCCTCTGTTACACAGACTGGCTGAGCTGTAAACCTCCCCACCCCGGAAAGGCCACATCCATGGGACATTCACATCAGAGACAGCTGAGGAGGTGTCATAAATTATCAAAGACACTCAACATGGTGGTGACTTAGGGTGTTAGGGTTAAGGTTATGGTATTTCTGAAACCAAAATACAATAGGAATTTGAGAAAGTCAAAAATAATAAATGTCCTTGATTCACAGTAATGTATACGTATCTGATTTCTTCTGACTTTATGAGTATACTTCTGAATCCAGTGAAATCAATTCAGTGGTTTGTTCAGTCATTCAGCTTTCATATCCTGATAAACTGACAGATTAAACCTAGTAAACACAAAATTCCCCACATATTTTGGTTTTAGAGATGGTCACAAATACAGTCTTAAACTTGCTTCTTTTTGTCCTTTATTACTTTTGTTTTAATCATCATTGGAATCAGCTGGTTAAAAAACTGAGTTATTTCAAAGATGTGTTTCTTTCCAGATCTCCAACTCGTTTCATTGTACTGTTGTGTTTCATTTGGTTTGTTAATTGATAGCAACCTTGGAACCCTGGAAAATGACAGCTGGGTTTCATGATATTCCTAGCTCCCAGGCACCTGGTTCAGGAGCTAGGGAAGCCTTGGCACTGCAGGCAGAAAACAACACAGTTTGGATTACCTTTTCTCTTCCTTTAGCAATATTCCTTCAGCAATTTCAATATCACAAAACTTTTTATCAAATAATGAAATCTTGTTCAGTCCTTTTGTTTTTTTGCAAAGTTTTGAAACTCTCTGCCCATAGAAGAATGTAACAGTAATAATATGCTGCTTAAGCAGTATTTAATTGTTCATCTTTATTAGAAGTATAATTAGTTACACTAATTAGTTACACTAACACTACTGCTAATCATCTCCTAATCAAAGCTTTTCTAAAAACCAGTTGATTCTCTTAGGAAACTACTGTCTAAATAGAAAGGAAAAAAATAGAAGGCAGGCAGTGTTTTTCTCCCAAATCCTTTACTCAGACACCTAGAAGACAGCAAGCTTATCTGCTCTACTCTGCTCCTACTAGAAAATTCTGGCAGAATTAGTATCGGGCCTGCATAATATATTTCTCACTGCCCTAAACTATTAACTTTTCCCCCCACTCTAGTCACATATTCTGCAGATTAATAATGCCCCGTCCACTCAAACTTTCTCACCAGAAAAAACAACAATGACATATTTAGTAGTTTTATTATAATTATTTTATAAATCCTCTCCTCTTTAGTGTTATTTTTTAATTCATAAGACACAACAGCTTGTACAGCAATTTTCTAATACCTGTTTGAGTCACACAGTCAAACAGCTTCCATTTTTTTATTATACCAAGTCTCTATTAGCTTCTCCATAATTTGACACATTCAGCTTCATACATGAGATTCAATATATCCTACAGAATTAGGAAGAAAGAAAAAGCAGAAGTACTTATTTATTTAATGACTTTGAATATACATATTTCTTCCCTACATTTTAGACATTTCACTTGCAACTCACACTGAGAGTAAGCACAGATCTCCCTTGGGTATACTATTAGCTTTGTCATGCAGAGAGACCTATTTGTCAAATAGCTTAAAACTTCTATATTATTATAGTAATATTGGGATTTATGACCCACATTTAAGAAATCTGATTGGACAGCTTTCGATTACCCAAATATCCATCTCCTCTTTCCATATTCCTTGTCTTAGCAGTAATGTCTACATAGGTCATATTTACTTAAATTTGATCTAACTATTGCCAAGTTTGTGTGGGTATGACATAATTTTAAACATATTTAAGCATTTTTAGTATGCATAATATTATAGGAGTCCAAGTCATGAAAACCAAGTATTTCATCATGTATTCATGTTTGCTGTTTGCAATGACCAATATAGACATTCAATGAAAAAAATTGACATATTATTAGCAACTAGTTTAAAACTCCCAGGAACAGACAACTTTATAATATTATTAAAGCAATATGAAATTGTCTTGTCCTTAGGATTGTGGGTTGATTTTGATCTGTTGGTTGGTTGGCTTGTTGAGCTTTTAAAACAAAGTTTGAGTGGTCTCATGGGGCAATGTCTGGTTTGTAAAGTAAGTTTGTTCCTTCTGTCTATCTTCACAGAGCCAGAAATTAATCAAACTGTGAGACTCTAGCATTGTGCATCACAAGGACTCTTCTAAACCAATTGCTGCAGTTTTGAGATGAGTGAGTTTTCTTTTCCATCTGAATTTTTGTTTGGACTCAAATTTTTGTTCAAGCACATCCATCAGATTATTATTTTGGGGAAAATATAAGGAAAAATAATTATCTTAACTAGTCCCAGATGTGATGAAGCATTCCAGATTTTAATAGCTTTGAGAATTTAGTGTAAGTCTAGATTTTTGTTAGCTTTTAAAATATCTAGTGGGGTTTTTGAAAAGGAATGAATGTATTTTTCATGCTCAATTTTAGAGGAACAGATATATTTAAATACCTATAAAGAGGCATGGCTTTTGAAGTTCATCTTGATACAAAAGTAATACTATGAAATTAGCTTGTAAGTACTATTAATCTCATTAGAAAAAGAATTAAGTTGAATGTATAATTAGATATCCTAGAGAGAAACAAGCTGCTTAACACAAAGAGATAGTGAGAAGCAAGTCAATTACTATTTTTGTTAGACTATTGCAGAATATAAAACTAATATAAACAGGAAGATACAGATCATATTGATCACTAAAAACAGTTAATAAAAATAAAAAATATATTCTTCCTCAAAGTGAGACATTAAGAAGAGATCACAGAGGAACGACTTTTATCTAGGTGGGATTCCTAGAAAAATCAGGAGAACAAAGAAAATATTGGAGTTGTCCTGAACACCTACCATAAGCTCCCTTTTAAGAAGAAATTATTTGAAATACAATAAAAAACATCACCACCTGATATTTTTGTGCCATTGACTTGTCAGATTGAAAAGAGCATCTATGTTCAGAAGTCTGAATTTAAAAGGAGCGGCTGACAGGATGAGAGAGTGAGGAAACAATATCCAGGATGGAAAACGGGATCTGCAGGACAGTTCAACTGGAGAACATTTTTCCAGGAGTAGGGCAGAGAAAGGAAAATGGAAGCAGAGGGGGAAAAGGCAAAACAGGGAATCATATGCAATGGAAATACAATATAAACTGGCTTTGAAATTTCCAGAAAATATGAGGATAAAGTTTAATACTGGGAAGGAGTTCTTACCTTAGAAACACTGATCCAACACAAATATTTTCTTCATTAAAGGCTTTATTTTCTTTGATTTTAAAAAAACCTTTTATGTATCTTTTCAAAATGAACCTATAGAAAGAAAAAAATTCATTGCATTTAATATTATCTTTTAGTTGTAATACAATGAAAATACATAATCTATTACCTAAAAAAAATATTTTTAAACAAGGTTTTTACTGCCAGCTTTTGCGCCACCTAAAATATGGCAATGCTAGAGCAGAAAATTGATACATGGCAGAATGAGGCAATATCCCTTTTAAAGAATAAGTCTTGGACTCATCAAATTTTTTTGCATTAATAACTTCTATTTATGTGTAAAAAGACTTCTAGAAGAGAAAGAAATCTAACTCATTATAGCATCCTCCCTATTGTGATATGATCTTGCCCAAACACGCGCATACTGCAAACTAGGCAGAAATTCTTCTATATACAGAATCATCCTGCAGCTCATAGACACCCAAAGAACATTTCCAATTATTTTTCCTGATCAAATAGAGCTTATAAAATGCAGAACAAATGTACACAATTTAGAAGATATCAAAATTTGATCAGAAAAACAAGGTGACAGGAGATAAAACCTGGTTTCATTTGATGACTCCCCTCCTTTGCTTGAATTGAAAAAATATTACATTAAGCTTTAAATATCTGAGTCATATGAAAATCTGCTCTTTAAATTTCCATTAAAATCTGGTGAAGCTTTTCATTTTCATAGTTAAAACTATACTATGTGAAACTTTGTTAGTACTATTATGTAGTTCTAGTTGTTTTACTCAACCATGCGTGGTCTTCTACTACGTAATTTATTGAAGAACAGCACAAAATTTTAGCTACTCTTCCTTTTCAAAACTGAATAATACAGACTTTGTTAATTCCAAAAGTAATCTATATGTTTAACCTTTTTCCAGTCAATGAAATAGCTGTAAAACAATACTTTCCATAAGAGAAACATGACTGTTAACTGTGGGAGTAGCTCTTTAAGGTTGTTAAATATGCAATACAAAATTGAACACATTCACAATATTACAAAGAATAAACATTTTGGAAATACTGTAAAGAAAAAAATTGTGTAGATAACAACAAAAACTTTTAATCTTATCATCAGATATTTAATGAACATTATTGAAAATGTAGTAAAAAATTCAACTATTTAATAAACATTTATTCATAGAAAAATGTTCAGTAATACAAGACTTAAATGTAGAAACAAACTGCCACTAGCTACGACTATGAAACAATTTTGAACAGAAGCTCTGATTTCCAGCTTCAAATATGGAAACTTGCCTGAAGCAGGATCACTAATATAAATTTACTGTTGTGGAGAACCTGGCTTGTAGTTCTCATTCCAATAACATTTTGTAGAACTGCAGTAAAACTTCAGTAAGACTGTCTCGGGGCTTTTTTTTTTTTTTTAATAACCTTTTTGGTGGCTACCATCCTCAAAATGTCAAAATATAGCAAAATTTTGAAAAAAACCCACAGCACACTCCACACAAATGGCAGAGTTGCTCTCTGTGGTATTAAAACATCATGTATGATCTCTAGGAAGGATTAAAAATATGCCTTGGTAAATTTGTAGTCTCTATGTCACCTGAATAAGAATGAGGTAAGACTACTGCAGAAAGCTTAGGCACTATACCTTGTATAATGTGTACACTGTAAATTTACAACTGTAGTTCAATTGACTTTCTACCCAATTTGATTTACTACTTCCATTTTGTGTACTGTGCCACTGTTCAACAATTGCTCTGATTAAGGATTTGGTGCTGTAGTTTCTAGTGCAGTGTGTTTAAGGGTGAAACATAAATAGGAGTATCAGAATAAGACCTTCAAAGTCCCTCTGTCTCCATCAAAGGTATTCACAATTAAGTTGAGATTCTAAATATAGTAAACAGATCCAAAAGAAAGGTTCCTTGAGTTATTTGAAAATTCAATCATTTGGGACCTTGATGTGGTAGCTAGTAACCAGAACTTGTCCGTGTTCTGAAAAAATCTGCAGAAGGTGACGATCTCAGTCCATAAGGGTGTCATGATCAAAAGGGATGCAATGAATCTGTTTTAGAAATGAAAAATAACTCCTCTTGCCCCCCAAAATGATAAACTATTGCTTACATAGATTCAAATCAAGTTTGTTTGGTTTTTATTTCTGCCTTTTCTGATTTTACACTTCCATATTGTATTAATATTTCCAGTTTTATAAACATAAAATAACACTTTTTTCTTTTTTTAAGAAAGAAACACTTTTCTTTCATATAGGCCTTCTCCATTGTTAAATATCAAATGAAAATTACAGACATGGGAAAACAATATTTAATGACATCTGTAGATGAAATTTTTGGGGTGTCCACATCTCATGGCAAGTGTGGGATGAAATGTTTCAGATTAATATATGGAGCTAGGTCAGTCAAATGTCAACAAAATCTTACCAGACAGCATTATTCAGAGCTTCTGATAAGAAGTACACAAGAGAGTACCTATATTCTGAAAAAATCCTTATTTCCCACAACCTCATTTCTGGGGTCTATATTGTCGGAACTCAAAATGTCCCTCAGACATTTTTAGAAGTTCCAGGCCTTAGTCAAAAGCATTTTAAACCCTGGCAAGCAGCTGAAAACAGCTGTGATTTTGAATTTGAACCATAAAATGAATTACCAACTTTGAAAGTAAAACAAGCAGTCACAGAGGGTTAGATGATATAGTAAAAGTAGTCACAAATTAGAGGGTAAAATTTTTTAATATTGTACAGGGGGGTTTTAACACCTGTACAGGGGGGTTTTACTTTGTACAGGGGGGTCAGGAGTTCTAAGATGGAGGAAAGTGGGCCTAAACCTGTTCTTCCTCCTTCTTCTTCCTTACCTCCATGTTCTTGGTGATGTTGGCATTTTTCTATTAGTTTAGGCTAGGGACACACTATTCAACGTAGATGATAGATATTGGCACATTATTGTAAATATAGTACACGTAATTTCTTGTATATAATGTTTGTACCATCCCACTGAGGGGCAGAGCCCCACACGCTGCCCTGCAAGACAAACCTGCGGCAGGGCAGCAGAACTTGTTATAGATAAGCAAAAATAAACAACCTTGAAACCAGCACAGACGAACTATGGCTTCTTCTTTGGCAACGGGGCAGAAAGACAGAGACTTTCTACAATCTCAGAATCACCAATACCCACAGATTCCGACATTTGGCGTCCCTGTGCGGGCATCAGCAAGAAGAACAAGAAGAAACATCAAACAACCTCCAACCTTCATCAGCAGAGAAAAACAAAAAAATAAAGAAAGGAAGAGGAACAGAGCACAAATGCTCTCGGCAGATTCCGGGAGGAGAGGGAGCAGAAAGCTCAAGATAAAAACCTGACCTTCACCAAGACAGCTCGTCTGGAGGACAGCCAGGAGGAGGAAAACCAGAAGCGCGCCTGGGATTTCTCGCCTGTGACCTGCTGGACGATGAACAGTGCCATCTCCGGACTGACCTCGTGGTGACTCAGCTTTTGGTGAGAATGGTTGAAATTAAGAACATGGGGAAGGGATGCTCCCAAGGACAGACAAAAAAAATTTTTTCAGCCCTACAGGGCAAGACTTTTACCCATCTGGTAGAGATAGCCTCAAATGAGATGAAAGCTTTGTTATTGTGGGTGCAGTATACTCACCCGCACACAGATGTACATCTTTTGTTTGAGTTAAATTTTCGTGAGGGATCAATAAGCAACTGTATTACCGAGCCACAGGAAAAAGAAAAAAAAAAGAGAGATAAGACTGCCGCAAAAACTTTTGCCTTTAGCAAGGACAATAAGAGTCATTTTCACAACGCGGCATTTTAGACTGAACAGCTAAGGCTCCTATGGGAGCACAAGGAGGAAGATGGCCCAGCCAGCAGCTTCGGGCAATTTTCCTCACCAGGGGAAGCAAATTGCCTCCCGAAGAAGATCAGGGGGGGTGTCTCATCATGTCCTATGT